AGGGATAAAGAAAGAAGCGCATTAGTGTGTGAGCCAGCGTGGCATGTTGCCATCGTTGAGGAGTTTGTGGTGCCAGGACCGTTTAAAAATGGCTTAGTCTATAGACCCTATGCCTGAGGAGGGGAAAGCATCAGATCAGGGTGTAATACCTTAAAACAAGGAGGAATGAAATGTGGGATTTTATTTTTTAAGAAAATCTGCTAACATTCAACATTTTTACCACCCATCGTTTGCCAATTTTTTATTTTATTTCCAAAGATTTTTCTGATTAGGTATTTATAGTAAATCTTATTACCCATTTTCATTCTTTGTCACTGTCACACCACACGAGCATGGCAGAGAATTGAACCTAAGACTTTTCAATCCCGAGTCCGCTGTCCTACCACTTTGTGCCACAGCCGACCCTATTCTAGAGAAAAGTCGGCTTGTCTACGACACAGCACCCTCCCTTCCCCCTTAACTCGAGAACAGTAGTTGCCAGCGGGGGCAATCAGACCAAATGACATGGTTGACACTGTTCTAAATCTGGCTGCCTCAGGCAACTATTACTGAGCCGCCGAGCTTTGCTAACATCTCATTTATGACATCAACATGTTGATTACATGTACCGGTGGCAGCAGCTTTACATGGCAGCCTCTTGTACCTGGCAGTCTAAACAGCACATATTTCTTAGGTACATTTCCCTGTACCTTAGAGATCTGTGAAATAATGGAAAACACCTACAGGCTCACAGCCTCCTCTGTGTTGCAAATACAAAGGGTCTCTCAAGAGATACATTTGCATTTAAAAATGTTCCAACATTGAAGAAACCGAAACAAAGTGATGCGGGAAGACCTCGCAAATATTTGACAGAAATTGCAGATACAGGCAGCAACCCTGTCCAGTTCCAAACCAACAACAGCCCTGCATCTAATGTAAACTCCAGTGCTGCTGGTTAAAACAATATGGGCAAGGGAAGTCTGAGATTGTCATTGTATGTTCTCATACAGTGGCAAAATTAGTTCTCTGCATTTAACCCATCGCACCTGGGATACACCCAGGTGGAGCGTTGGGCAGCTATGTAAGCGCCCGGGGATTACCATATTTTCCACCGTACCCATCACACCGCCCTATAAGTTGCATCAGTCCAAATATGTCTAGAAAAGTGGAAAAATCTATAAATATGTCACTTCACTGTATATGTCGCACCTATTATGCGTCACCCCTGACAACCCGGAAATGTGGGCCAGTGTGCCAAAAATCTATGGGCTGCCAAATGGTGGTCGCGGGAGCGTGCACAGGAGGACTTTAACAAGAATAATACTTAAAAACAATTATTTGTTTGCTAGAAATTAGTAAAGATGTGTCTTAGTCTACGTTTTGCTTAATAAATGCACTTTGACGGTCAAATCATCTGTATTTCCTTGAAATTTAACAAGATAAACACCTAAAAACTATTTGTTTGCTTGAAATTATAGTAAAGTTGTGTCTCAGTCTAACATTTGCTTAATAATAAAAGGATTTTATTATTTTATTTTATACGGTCAAATCAGCTATATTCGTTGCCTTGGTGCTCTGGGTGCGCGCAGAGGGAGGAAAAAAAAATAAGGAGGAACGCTGCTCGTTTCTTCGAAATCTAACAAGAAAAGCACCTAAAATTATTATTTGTTTGCTCAACATTATAGCAAAGGTGTGTCTCAGTTGAACTTTTATTTAATAAATACACTTTAATGGTCAAATTAGCTACATTTCGCCAGGGCGGTGCAGCTGGTTTGACTTGCTCCAAGCAGAACAAAAGTGGGGGGACTATGGCAAGCCGATTGTGCCATTAATAGCTGGTGAAGATTATCAGTCATCCAGGTCATTATAAATTCAAAAAGGTTCAAGACAAAAAACAAAGTATAAAAAAGTCCAGTTGTTTTTGTATTGAACTTTTTTGTCATTTGTCATGTTTACCCATTACATGATACAACGGCATGCCTTACTGCTACTACTACTCTTCTGCCATATAGTGGCAAAAAATTGGACTGTTCTTTGTTTTTTTTTCAGTTAGAATGAATGAAAACATGGGAAAAATCCATAAATATGTTTGTTTGGCCTGTAAGTCACAGGGCATGTAAATTATGCAAAAAAAACGCAACTTATAGGCCAAAACATATGGTAGGTGTCTTGCTCAGAGACACCACGACATGTGGGAATGGCAGGAAGTTCAACCGCGACTTTCTGGTCCCCAGTCGGCGGTCCTGCCTCTACCCCATCTCAGCTCCACAAGCACACGCACATCACATTCAAATATAAGAGCTTCGTATTAAAATCCCACTACAAATGCGTACAAAATAATTCAGGGTAAGCTTTAGATACTGACTTTTATTCTGCATGAGTGGGGCACAATAAGCAGATTGATATGTACATTACACTGAAATTGTTTTGTTTTCAACCTATTTTTCTTTTTAAAACCCAAATGTAATTTTCTTCTCCTGAAAATAAAAAAGCCAGCAGAAGGCATAAGATCATGATTTCAGCCTGACTTTCATACTGCTCGTCCCTTGCTGTGAAACTGTGAAACAATAGCTGCCCACATGGTGTGCATTGTGAGCATTTACTAAAATACAGCTTGAGGTGGAAAGGCACTTGAAAAGGAAATGAACTCCAAATGGATGAATATCTGTCCCTGCTCTCAGTCTTTTGGGACAATGCCACCCTCAAAGACTGGTGTTATCCTTCAGTGCACTTAAGACTGACTATTAATGGATGCTCAAGTGCCAATGAACATTACAACCCATCTGTTATATAATGCTTTAGAACTTGAGTACAGATTACAGTGACCATGTTCCAATCTGGATAAAGAACAGAGACAAAATGGATGGAATATGAAAAGGCCACTTTTACAAGAGGTCTGATAGTCTGGACGAGTGAAAGAGGGTGTAAAGTTAGGAGGTTTGCATGCTGCACTATCAAAGGCTAAAAGAGATGAAGAACGAGGCACTGATCCAGAGGGCGGCCAAAGGTTATTTCTTAAAACATTTTTTGGCCGTTGCTCCTGCAGGACTGTATTTTTTGTTGTGGCACCAACAGCAGGCGTCATGCCGCTCATGAATCTTTAAGTCGGCGTGCATCTTGGAAACAAATGGCTCCACCTTCACAACCACTACTGTAGATCACTTGAACAAAGTAAAAACTGCAACGGTAAATCAGAGCATCTGACACGGCAAAGAGTTTATCCATACCAAGTGACTTTATAAGAGAGAAATCCTTCAGATCAACAGATACGATGAATAAGAGCTCAACTAGTCTCGCCAAACCTGAGCTCATTTTACCAAGTAGAAAAACGTAGAAGATCAGTGATGGCTCAGAAATTGGAAATGGACGAGTGGAATCATCAACAAGTAAATTTGTAGAGCTTCACGTCAACACATACTTGTAAGCACTTTGGCAGCCCTGCTGCTTGTTAAGCTTTCTCCAGATCAAAATATCCATCTGTAGCCAGCAAGGAGGGGGCAAATGCGTGTGGAGGCACAGCTGTTGCATACTAAGCAGGAACCACAGGATTCAACGAAACCTGAATCTATGTGAGCAAATTATAAGCCTATTAGACAAATAGCTCAGAGATTTTAATCACTGTCGTTCATCTGTAGGGTTCATTATCCCAAGACTGAATTATGATCACTGGCTAGTCTGTGGAGGCCAGAAGTCAAAACACAACGATGCAAAGAAGTGAGATGTTACTGACAAACGTGTTCTTCCAAAAACGTCAATTAAACGTATAAACAGTTAAACACTGTAGGCACATTCGTGTTTCTTCATGCATTCAATTCTGAAATGGAAACGGACCAGTATTAGAGCTGTAACTACAGCAAGAACGAGTATCGTCCCTTTTCCTTATCTTTCATGTACAGAACAGGTCTGTGGGGATGTTTAGCATAAAGAAAAAAATAAACGAGCAAAGCTTCATGGTTTGACGAAACAGCCACCATCTACGTCAAATTGTAGAGGTGTTTAAATATGTGCAACTGTGGACTGACAAGTGACAAGGGGTGGATAAAGAGTTTGCAATTGAAAGCCTGTGTTATTTTCCATTCAACTGTGAGCTTACGTCTACCCAAAATAAATCTATCCACGAAAACTCATGGAACGTGTGCATCAGCGTTGGAACTTTTCCATCTATAGCAGCAAAATGGCGAGCCAAACATTTGTGAACCCACTAACTCTAAGGGAAATGCAGAAAGAGTTATGTACTTTGTGCACTTACAAAAAGATGAAACGTTCCCGTCTCTACGCTGCACCCTGCTTGTAGGAAACATTTTGACCAGGAAGACTTCAGATGAACAAACAAGGCACATTTTTATGAAGGGGCTCAGAAAAAGGTGACATTAGCATTTCATGTCCTACCTTCAATTGATCTTTTATATAACAGCAGAGCTTTTTTCCTCTGTACACATCGGCACGAATAAGTAGGGATGAATATCAAATTCAAACTCCTAAATCACTGCCAGTGGTTCATCGGTGTCTCAATCAACAGAAAACTTCTGAATTCTGGTTTAAAACAGCTCAACTTTGAGACAGTTTCATATTACGCTTGTAAATAACGGGGACTGAAGCAGATGATACGACCAATACTGAAAAAGGCTAAATAAAAAAGGGCCATCTTTGTTGGCAACCTTTCCATCATGTTGTCAGCCACGGCTCTAAACAATTTCAGACTGACAGTTCAAATACAAGCACTTTCCCTTTGACATGTTTAACTACCCTGCTGCATCACAAGCTGCAGAGGCTGTTAAGGAGTTGCAGGTCGGACCATGAATGACTGCAGGGACATCTGTTCTGTCAATATTCCACACCCAAACCAGAGAAAGAAATCTAGAGAACGAGATGTTCCAGAATTCTCTTGATGAAACACAAATTAAACAACAACATGTCTATTTAGAAAAGTACAATGAAAGGATTTGTTCCCACTTTGTGAGCTACTGTTTTCATAACTCACTAAAAACACATTTCTACTTCTCTCTTCTAATTTCTCTTACCATCTTCTGCAGATGCTTCTCCTTGCGGATGTCCACCATGACCAAACCCTCTTTGACCAAGCCGAGGCCGACGTCATCCTTGGTGTCTCCAAACTGTATTGTGACGTGTGGGCAGATGGCACCTGAATACTCCACGTTCATCAGACACTGGCTGTTCTGGATGTCCCGCACAATACAGTCGACCACATCTGCACGGGCATCCTCCTGAAGAAGCAAGAGGACGAGGATAGTTTAATAAGAAAGTCAGGATGCAAGAAAGGCGAGGACATATAAAAAAAATACTATTTGTCCAAAATGTTAGAAAAATGCTGGCAATGAATCAAAGTAATCAGTCAGTTGGTTCAGCTACTTCAAGAAAACTGTCTTTTTCTTATCTGAAGTCCTCCTCATGAGGCTGTCTTCTTCTCTTCACACTCAGGTACTGTAGCTGCCTCACCCTCTCCTGTTCCTAACCTTCGCCCCTCTGAAAGGCCACTATTTGATCGAACATATGGTGAGGACAGGAGAACAGCTGCAATACAATCCAGACCTCGTGTCCTCTAGCAGTCTGGGTGAAAACAAGACAAACAAGGGAGTCGCAACTTCAAAGACAAGACGACAGTAATAATAATAATAATTTAAATTAAATTTAAAAAATCAGATCCATCCCTCCCTTACACCATCTATCGCTTTGCTTCCTTTCTTTCTCGCCCTGGTCTTGTCTCCATGGCAACCGCCTTACAGCTAGCCACCCTTGGGCATGTGCATGTGTGTGTGCGAGCGAGCGTGAGAGCGAGTGTGAGCAGGGAGGCTTGTTCGAGGCGAAAAACTAAGGGGCTTTTTTTGTCCCTTGCCCCCCTCCCCCCGGTCAACTTGTCACAGGCGCTGTGGGGAAGCTCCGGGCACGAGGCAGACAAAGAAAAACAGAGGGAGAGCTGACTGTAAAAAAACAAACAAAAAAAAGAACAGGATGACACTTATAAAGAGACAATGCTAAATTAAAACGAGCGTCTGTCGGGGCGTGTGTGTACGGACGGGAACAAAACCCTAAAACAACATCATCTAAATCCTACTTTGACTTTTATTATATTACAAAATAACATTCATTCAACTGTAGCCAAATATGTCAGAAACGTCAGTGCCCCTTTTATTTCTTAACAAAAAAACAGCAACACCTTTTTAAACCTCAGCTTTAACATCAAATGTCTCTTGAATGTGCTTCCAAACTATTAAAGACGACCTTCATGAGAACACAACAAAGCAGTCTTCAGAAAACGATGTTATCTGAGAGGTTTTATTTTTGACGTGTTACGTGACCTTTACTTTTCACTTTCAGTTTTTAAAAGTAAATCCTGCGCTGCTGTGGATCTTGCCATTAGAAAATGTTAAAGGCAAATAAACGAGCAGAGCTGTTAGATTGACAGCGTAGCTAATTTCAACTGGACTTTTAGTTTTTTTTTTATTTGGCACGTTAGAGCAACTCAGACAGTTCATTTAATTTCAGGAAAATTTTTGAGTGAAGACGTGTGAGTATTCATGCCAGTCATTAAGAGAAACTAAATAAAGTCGTAGCAACAGTGAGGTGTGATGAAATGACGTACGCAACGCTTCCTACTTTGATTCACGTCACTGGAATGCAGCTCGATTAAAAGTTTCTTCTTATCCCGCGGAAACAAAAGAACAGTAGGAGTTTTCCACGACTGTGAGGTTTTTTGAAGATGCTGTCACTTTATAGAATACTTGATGAGAAACAACAGGGATGCAGCCGTACGACAGACTTCTAGCGCCAAGAAAAGAACTTTTCTGAGCGACTATGAAGCCAATTATGACTTGTGGAGACAGACGGCTTGTGCAGGGCACTGGGTGCCAGCTCATGAGAGGAAGGTAGCAACCTTTCTAGGAACGGTTCAGCACAAGTGGGGGCACCCTGCTGTCAGCGTGGCAGGCGGCAAAACACAAGGAGGGAAGGAGCGAGATGAAATGGAAGAGCAGATGCGGAGTGACAAAGACGGAGTGAGCAGGAGAGGTGTAAGGTGCATGTCGGCTTCAAACATGTGGTTCAGCTTTTTGTTTGTTTGTAACACGGAGGTGATGCTGGTGTCCCCTGGGCAGCACCAACAGATGGGCCACTTTATTACAGACTCATGAGACAGCTGACAGCACACAGCTCAGTGCTACAACAAAATCTGAAAGGATGATGTGGTTTAAACTAAATAAGCCATTACTTTATTCTTTTATCATTGTCACTTAAATAAAAACAAACCTCACCACTCTGCAGCCACAGAATAAGTTGGTCATGCTGGTTGCAAATGCAAAAAAAAAACCAAACAACCCACCCCAACCTTATTTTGTTAAAAAGCTTTCTAAACGGATAAAAATGAATCCGCTGAAATAGTTCCTGCAAGAACATAAGGCAGGATTTATTGGCTATGTGGATGAAACTGGAGCACACAAACAAATCAGATTCTGTGGGGCCGCATTGATTTTAGCATCGTGCCATTAGAAACGTGAACACTACATATTTTACGTAGAGGAAAAATTATTTAAAAACGGGGTTTAACGCAGAACCAATCCAGAACATATTAAAAGCTAATTTTGGTTCACTTTGTAAGTTGCTGGTTCAGGATGACCTGCAGTCATCGATGGCTATCAAACACGACGACTACACAAGCACACGACGTGCTTGGTTGATGTTATTTAAGTTAGCACAACGACAAAGTTAAGGCTGCAGAAAAAATAACATGCAATCCCCAAAGAATCAATTATTCTCTAAAGTTCTGCACACATGAAAACCTACAATTGTGTGTGTGCCTTTTTATGTTCACTTTGAACAAGATCTTTTGTGCACAAGCCCATCTTTGCTGAACGGAAACTCAGCTCCGTCTATCAGTTCTAGATTCATCGCCCCGCGTGGCGTGCGTCTCAAACACTTTTCAAGCATTGCCAAGAAAATTCAACTTTCAAACGCTGGCAGAAAATGAGTCTGAAGAAGCTGATATGTCAAAGTTAATGTAACAGCTTGTGGCTGCAGCACGCGTGTTTTCATCTGTGCGCTTACATCCTGTGGGACCTGGATGAAGGCGAAGGTGTACTCTGTGGCCTGTGCTGGCAGGGTCCTGGTGCTGAAGGCAGGAGGCATCGTAGCCAGACGGGTGCTTGACACGACTTCTCTCTGAGGGAGGACACGGACAGGACAGAAGTAAAAGATTTAAATGTGTTCATCTGTTTTTCTCAACCTGCTAATGCAGATTTTATATGTATCAAGATGTTTTCAACATAAACATTTGTGTTAAAATGATTCGGTTGTTATTAATCAAGCTCATCAGTCCAAGTTAATGTTTTTATTTAAAGGGAACAAAATGTCCTCGTGTTTTTGAGACGTGTTGAAAGAAACTCCAGCCTGCCTGTTGGAGACAAACCAATCAGGTAACAGATATTTGCTTTATAAATAACTGGTGTTGCAGCGCAGGAGAAAAACAACTCAACATACTCTCCAGATGCTAAACCAGCCTTATAATGCATTTCTCTTTTTCTTGGATTGTGAATCAGTTCTGTGATATTTATGCCACTTTAACAGTGACAGTATAAACTGTGAAAGGAGGACAGGTGCCATTTCTCTCGATAAATGACTGGATACTCTTGAACGTCACCTTATAATCATTTTACAGCTGTTGCTACACCTGCAGAAGCCCCTTTAACCAAGCTCCACCGAAACACTACACGCCACCGAAACACTACACGTCTAGTTGATACACAAACTCACCACAGTTGATGACTTGTCTAAAGGGCCACAGCTGTAATTGTGTCAATGTTCGTGAAGCGTTCACACTATTGTGATCCATTTTTCATTTGGACATTTTTCCGCATCGTTTTCATCCCGCGGTTATCAAACTATTTAAACAAATCATAAATCAAAATGTTTAGCTCGTTCAGGAGAAGGGTGCCATGACTTTTGGTATTGGTGCAACTTTAGCTTTTTGAAATGTTTAGCCTTTTCTGCCACTTTTTTCTCGTAGAAAATTAATTGAGCTCATTTTACATCCTTCAAATCTTTCACATTTTGTTCTGCTTCAGCTTCTTTCAGCTTCCTTGTGCAAATTTAAACCTTTTTTCAGCTACGTTCAGCAAATCTCAGCTGTTTTGCTCTCCTTTCAGATTATTTCTGTTACATTCAACATTTTTGTGCTTCTTCTAATGGCTCCTTTCAATTTACTTCTGCTATTTCACCTACTTTTTAGCTGTGTTATACTAATTTGAGCTTTTTCAGTTAATTCCACAATTTTTTGCACTCATTTAAACTTTTTTCAGTTTAATTCATGTGCTCTCTCCACTTCCTTCTGGTAATTTAAGCTTCTTTCTACTATTTTAGCTACTATTCAGCTGGCTTTTGTTTGCAAATTTCTGCTTTTTGTGCTCATTTCTGCTTCTTGAAGACTAATTGAGTACACTTGTGTTCTCTCCACTTCCTTGTATGTATTTTCAGCTACTTTTCAGCTATTTTTTCCCACCAAATTTCAGCTTTTTTTTTATTTTTTTTTTTAGCTAATTTACTAATTATTGTGCTCATATCTGCTTATTTAAACCAACTTCAGCAAATATGTGTTCTTCGGCTAACTTATTTCAGGTACATTTCAGCACGTTTTTAGCCAGTTTCAGCTGTTTTTTCAGCAAGCTCTTCAGCAATAAGCATTCACACTACAGTTTGGCAGGAAATGCAATTTCTCTAGTTATCTGTTTATTTGTATTTTTAATTATATTAAAATGTACTGCTGATAAATAAAGGCTTTTCTTACAGGATTTCATATGGGCAGTCACCGTTATGCCCAAGAATAAAACTAAGATCATCCTGTGTACTCCAAAAAATAACATTATATGCAATGACATAAGCAGGAAACACACTGGGAACACAAAGACGTGGTGCAACATTGGAACTGCGTCAACTAATGCCATTAAAACATAAAGGAAGTGCCCAGCTGAAGCAGCTGAAACTAAAATAACCTTTAAATTTTCCTTTGTCATCAGAAAAAAACTTTTGGATCAACAGACATGTTTTTCGACATCGTCTTTTTAGTGTTGGGATCCATGGGTGTCTCTCCAGAAACATTTCAGTCACATATTTTTCCCCCTCATCCATTTTTAAACATCAAGGCTATAGCTGCACATCAAATGATGATTTCCTGAAAGTTTCATTAACATCCATCCAGTAGTTGTTAATATTTTGGTAACAAACGAACTTCATACACACAGACGTACAAAAACATTATCATCCACTTTCACCTTTCAGTGGTGGGCAATAAAATCAAGCCTGTCTGAGGTCTGATCAATAACTGATCACTGCAGGCCACGCTGTGGTGGAAAGTCAGACAGATACAGCAGTTAGAAGTCAGAAGGTAATTTAATGACCCCTCATAGCTTAGGTTAATAGGTTCACTGGAGTGTGCAGTCTAGACAGAGAAGATCTTGAACGTTCATTATAGATAAAACGTTAAGATTTATCTACCAATATTAGACTTTGATGACACTTTAAACGTGGGCTGTAAAACTGAAATGACAAAAGTGCTCAGCTGTGTTTGCTAATGATCACATAATAATTCAGGTGCTGACCTGTACCTGAGAGGGCTGACAGTATTGTCGACTAACAGCTCGTGACACGGGGCCACAAAAATCAAGGTTGGTCTGACTCAACCTGAAATGACGCAAAACTACTACAGATGAGGTGCTGTGGATATCAGCTTGTCTTTTCTGTGTGCACCAGGTCAGCCTCAGAGAATAACACTTTCAGCAACATGCCAGGATGCATCGCATCTGCCAGCCAAACCACGATCTGTCCCCTGCTCCGAGGTCAGTCGCACACTGTGCCGCTCCACTGCATCATGGGAAAACTCCCGCAGGGTAGGGGAGGCTGGCCGCATCAGCCACTTGGTGATGATGCAAGCATGAGTGCGCACGTGGGCAGAGACAACTACGCAGGGTGAAGTGCCTTCGTCATCGCTGAGTAAAATTAAAAACGTATCCGAGGAGGGGGCTCTGTTTTCTTGCTGCTATGAAAGGAATAAAAACGATGCACTCGGTCGCACACTTTGTTTTGCCTCAGTGACAAACAATAAAAGAAAAACAAACACGCCGCCTTTGTATTCGTCGTAAAAATATTCAGCTGAGAGGACAAGGGAAGGTTTCTTTGAACATGAATTTTAAACAACTTGTGAATGAAACACTAGAATCCCTTCGGCTGTGGGTTTGTGTTCTGAGCACAACAGTCCTTTAACGACAACTGTTTTTTTTGGTTTTTTATTCTCCTCACACACTTGATCACAAAATCTAATTCCTCCTGAAGAAGTTACTCACGTTGCCATAGTCGATGTAGAAGACGTGAACCTTTGCCGGTGACTCAACTTTCTCCACTCTGGCTCTGTACCTGCAGCAGCAAAGGAATAACAGGGGGGTCGGGGGAGAAGGAGGAAAGATACGAGGGGGGGGGGGGGGAGGGGGGAGAAAGAACAGAGCACAGGGAAACACAGATGAAGACAGAGGGCACAAGTGGAAAAGGAGATGAGTAAATGATTCTGTGCTTATTTCCCTGGGGAGAAGGTGTTGGAGGATCTGTCTGTTGTGATCGGGGTAGATGAGTGGGATAGGATGAGCAGGCTGGGGGTGTAAGAGGGAGGGGGGCAGAGGGGATCTATCAGGACATGGGCGGGATGTGAAAATTGCATGGAGGCCCTCTTTGCAATAAAACACAGAGATTCTAACTTGTTTTTTTCCCTTGTAGCAAACTGCATAAGTGCATTAGTGCTAATCATGAAAAGCCTGCAGGTTTTCTCAATGCAATGTTGAGTTTTCTAACAGTTTAAACTTTTATAAAAAAATAAACTATCATCAGCATCTACCAATCGGTGACGGATTAAACAAAAACTAAAGGTCAAACTACAAAGAATCTGCACAAGTAGGCCTGTCACGATAACAAATTTTGCTGGGCGATTGTCTCAGAAATGATTGTGATAAACAATAAAACTGTTTGAAATTTGACAATAATTAGTAATTATTGTCAAATTTAAGAAGAAATGTTGGTAAATTTGTGTGTAGTACCTGTTTTGACCACTGTATGGCAGTATAAGACAGTTTGAACCGAAGGATGGATAGTGAGGGAGCGAGCAGCGTGTCGTTAAGAAAAATGGGAGGGAGGCCCCTTGACTTGGGCTGTCTCGTTCTTGTTTTTCGGTTCTCAAAATGTCAGACGCTCAGTGCGGTTTGAGCTCTTTAGCGTAGCATTTTTCACACAAAGCTTTTAATATATAATGAGTAAACAAGTTCTCAGCTTCTTTTTGCAGAGAAAACCAACTTTTTACATGAAAGCACGGGTTTCAACTGTGAATTTTGGAGCTTCGACAAGACAGAGGTTTTATTCCCTTAAGGTCGGCCTGTTAGCTTAGCTTGTAGCTTAGCTTGTCAGTTTAGCTGCTTTTAACAATCCAAAATCGCTATTTTGGATTGTTAAAACAGATTTTAAAGAGAAAAGAGAAAGGGAGGGGTCAGTGAAGAGCACCAGAGTTGAGCCTTTTGTCATCCAGTGTCTTCAGTAGAAAGAGACACCAAGAAACGATAAAGCTGATAAATGAAAATGAGGTTGATAATTTTAATTTATCATGCAATTAATTGATTTATTGTTTATCGCAACAGGCCTATGCACAAGAGCTCGTTTTCCAGCACACTCGATTCAGCGCATCTTTTCATCTGACCATCACTTGTCCGGTACAAGAAAGACAAATTGGCTGCAAAGAAGAAGTGCAAGAAAAAAACAAATTAGGCTCACATGGGTGGAAAGAGACTGAGCAAGCAAACGTAACGCAATAAAAAAAACAGCAGACGGAATGCGACGGAGAACAGACGTTTTGTTATCTTCCATTCACTTTGTGGTGTTTTGAGACACCTTGAAAGGAGACTTTTAATTACTCTATTGAAACAAGTCTGTGTCCCAAATGCATCACAGAATATGTAGATACAAAAGAAGAACAATGCAAACTTAGACATAATTAGTTGGCTGATATACGAGTCTGGTAGAAGCAGGATTTTTATTTCATTGTTAGATTGCTTTTCAAACACGAGGACCAAGTCTGCTTGTTGAAAATGATTTGTATTAGTGACGTGCAGGACGTTTTCTTGTTTTGTTCCAAAAGCAGAACAGGAAGATGAAAGAACGCGGAGAAGCACAAAAGGACAGCACCTGTGTCAGGTGAACATTTGGTTTTTAATCAGCTTCCTGATCCTTTTCCCCTCCACACTGTCTCCTTCTTGACATTCTCCCTCCACTCGATGGCTGTGACTTCTATCTGTCCCTGTGACCATCTGTAAGCTTCAAACATCCCGTGAAGAGTCAAGATGAAAAGATGTGCGTTACTGTAAAACAACTTGCTACTAAAAACAGTGGCAAAAAGCTAATTACGTTGTTGTAAATGCCTGCAGTGAACGCATCACAGGCTAAAAACAAGACGAGTTCGAATCATCTGGCTTTTATATTTGAGAATAGTGAAATTACAAGCCACAAGCTTTCAACAGATGTTAAATTGGAGCCAGCAAGCTTTAATTGACATTGTATTCTGCAACAAAAAAAAAAAAGCTAATTAAAGCCAATTTAAGAGGAAATTAATAATTATAATTTATTATTATTTTTTTTTTTTTAGAGGAAGCTTAACATTTTACATGAATGACAAAAAACATTACAAAAGGAACCGCTGCAGCAAAATTACTACCAATGGCATCTGAATAGCTCAGAACGTTATCCTGACAGAGATCCACAAATCTCTTCTGACCACAGAATGAACAACTAATTAATTTATGAGGGTCCACTAAAGTTCTCAAATAAAAGCCCAAACCTGCACAGACACTGATCTGCTCGTCCAAAGCACCTGGCAGAGAGGCTCGTTGTTTGAGAAGCTAATGTTCAACATAAACAGGAAACTTCACGTACCATTCACCATCAGCAAACTTTGCGAGGCAGTAGTCCCCCCGGCGTGCAGCGTAGGACCCTTCGACCGGAGGATGGGCAGCGATCTCTGCTCTCATGGTTTCCATCAGACTCTCTAACTGGCTTCCTGAGAGAAACGCAGACAAGGAAACACACTTCTAATCACAACCGTTTCCTTCGCTTCTTCCTTGGATGCAGACAGGTTTGCAGTCTTCAGATAAAGAGAGAAACTTTTATTTTACCCCAGCACTCAGTGATACTTTACTCAGTTTACTCACTGACCTGCACAAGGCGAGGTCAGTGAACAAGGCCAGGCTGATTCTGGCAGATCCTGATCACCACTCCGTGGTGAGTTCAGGTTGCTTCCATGTGGACGCAGGTCTCTGCTGCCCAGATGTAGAACAGACTGAAAAACTCATTGATCCCTGTAGCGATCAGGCTTCTCAACAAACGATGATTTCTGTACTGTTATTTTAATGTCTTGTCTAGTACGGATGTTTTATGTGCCCGTTGACTGTGAAACTATTTGCCCCACGGGGATAATAAAGATTCTTGAACTTGAACTTAATGACAAATTAAATGCATTCCAACAGAGCTTTCAACTTTGCTTGTAGCCTTTTTTTTTTTGTACAAGATCAAATATATGAAGGTTTTGCATTAAAATATTTTGCCTTATAAAAGCTCTCACACAGCTTAAATAACACATTTCTAATATCTTAAATGTTTTCAATAATATTGTAGTTAATTATTTCAGTTACTTTAAAGATATATGAAAATATACTTCTAGCCCAATATTTCATCATTAACAGCAGCAGTTAGAAAAAGGTCAAACGCCATCTTAGCCCCTTTATTAATAGACACCAACATTATACAAAATATACTCCATGCCTTTGGCTGCAGTTAAGCCCATTAGCCCTTTGCAGCTTATTCTGGTTTGACCCTGGTGGTGAAATAGAGCCGAGTTAAGCCAGCTCTCCCAGTGGGCCTTTATGGCCTATCAAACTGTTATATCATGAGCGTCTGCCTTATTATGGTGGATTCAAAGTAAAAATTTGGCTGTCAATACTTTGGGGGTGGGATTTAGATAGCGAATCACCGCTTTGTTGGAGCCAATGACTGCTGTAAGTGGCTGCCTGATTTGCACCCATCAGTTGCAATCGAGGAGCTGATTGTGAACACCTCTAAGCATGTGCATCTTCAAAAGCGCCACATTTCCAGTGTTTGTGTAATGTGTACAGTACGTTTGTGTATTTCAGAAAAATATTTATGCACGCATGTGTTTTAGAGTGTCCGCAAATGGCTACGTGCTACGATGTGGAGCCGTTTGAAAGCATGCGCCAGTGTGTATTGGAAGCAATTACTGCAGCCAGTTTAGTGAAGTGGCCAATATGAATTTCCATGGTGATATTTTTAGAGGCCATTTACACAAATCAACCACCTGGAGGGGGACATGGGGGGGAAAGGGCCAGATTAAAGTGCAATGGATCATCTTCGTTGCCATTTGTATGATAGGAAACCAAATGGAGGGAAATAAGCTTCTCTGTATGTTGGTATTCTCCATGTGCAGGTTAACTCTGGTTCTGCAGTGTGCTGCTTGTTACAACATGCCTTCTCCTGTTAATATGTTTTCTTGCAAATAAATGCAGTCAGTGTGCGTGTGTGTCCTTTGTGAAGTTCTGCTGATGATGCATGTTGCTACCAAACAAACAGCTTGCAGGCAGACACTGTACACACCTTTCTATTTCTGTACAAGTGCTGCTGGTTTGTCATTAACACCTAAACTTATTTATGCTGGTGGAAAACAAGAAAATATGAATAATGATGCTGTTTTCCCACAGATATCTTTGCTGAGACAGGCAGACAGCTGCCAACTAATAGCACAGGAAACATTCATTTGCATGTCTAACTTGGAGGGAAAAACACGAGGAATGCAAATAGAGTGGAAAGGGAAAACTGGGAGCTCAGTTTGATTCTGGACCGTCAGGGCAGAGGTGTCCAAACACCTCATTGGACACCCACTGCTACAGTGATTGCTGGTGCTGGTGATTGCACGTTCACACCTTAAGCCTTTTCTAATGTGTACTATTTTATGTTAACATGTGAGCTACTGGATGTGTCACTGTATGTTTGAGCACCCTGGTGATTTTTCTGTAAAACTGACCTACCATGTGATCCGCTTTTAGGAGGAAAAACACCATTTTTAAACACTTACTATTCAGATAGTCTCTAATGATCATTATTAGCAGCAAAAAAAACCAAAAAAAAAAACCAACCTCCCTATTCTCTTCCTTTATTGACAGCAATAAGTAAAAATGCATTGTAAAAGTATGTGATGTTAGGAGTTAAAACGTTTGAAAAAAACAATAATAAATGTTGAAAAATCAGAAATAAATCTCGACTATAATTTAAATGAATAGGCAACCTGCTCTAACCACTACTGATAAGGGTCACACAATCACAGCAAAATGTCAAAAAACGTCATAACATTACAGTTGAAAAAGCCCAAAGGGAACGCTCATCTAAAAATCATTAGTTAGACAATGTTGTTGCATTAAAATATTGATAAGCAGTAATATTGTGCATTCCAAAACATACGCTAGACAAATAGATTATCAGTGTTCAGAAAACTATTTCATAAGCACCAACTCTTAGAGGTGGATAGGCTATTAAAAATTTTATATCAATTATCTTCATCCGCTTCTTCCTTTTCTGGTTATGGGGGTCATTGGCGCCCTTGTCCAGCAATCACTTTGCGAGAGGCGGGGGACACCCTGGACAGGTCTCCAGCCCATCACAGGGACACGTAGAGACAAACGAGACAAACAAGACAAACAACCATTCACTCTCTCACTCACACCTTGGGACAATTTAGAGTTACCAATCAGCCTAACATGCATGTTTTTGGACTGTGGGAGGAAACTGAAAAAAACCTACGCATGCACGGAGAGAACATGCAAACTCCACCCAGAAAGGACCCCCGCCCAGCTGAGGTTCAATCTGGCGACGTTCTTGCTGAGAGGAAACAGCTCTTCCAACTGAGCCATTGTGTGTACTTGTATACCACCTTTCTATTTTATCAAGATACTCAAAACACTTTACATCACAATCTGTGCCCTCATTTACCCATTCATACAGCACTCTACTACATCTATACAGAGAATAATCAGTGCTTTAGGTCACATTCATACACCGATGGGACACACATCTGAGGCAATGAGGGGTTCAGCGTCTTGCCCAGGGACACTTTGGCATGTGACTGCTGGTGGAATCGAACCCCCAACTCTTGCTGTAACCACTCAGCCACAGCCACCCTATAAATATAAAAAAATTGGACTTTTAAACTAAAGCCCTGTTAAGCCGAGAAGAGATACGAATTGTTGTTTTGGTGCAACCTTGTAAAAGAAATATTGCACAATCTGACTGTGCTGAGGATAACTCTCAGCTACTACCACACTAAACTGAGCTGCGTTGCTAAAATGACTGAGATACAGCCAGAGTGGATGTCAACAGTTGCAAATGCAAAGATTTAAAACAAACAAACTGATCAACGTGTTGTGAGCAAAGTACGTGTTGGAGCTAACGCTCAACCACTACCACTTTAGCTCAAAATATGTCGAACTGGCTGCACTATAGCAATGTTTGTGTCTCTTACATGTGGTGGCCATCTTGGAAGGAGGCTGACTCCAAATGTTTATCAGTTATAGAGTTAATACATCCAATGATTACTTAAAAAGTTTTTAAAAATTTGTCTTGTGGTTCATGAGGTATTTTGCTAATGCTACAGACACACAGGCAGGCATGGGCAAAACCATGGTGGTAGGTGATAAAGATCAGTTGTTGCGTATGTGATTTCAATAACCACTTATTTGGCTGCAATTACAGTAGACCAATCTGTACATGCAAGCAGAAAGCAACCGTCAACCATTTGATTAGAAATGACAGACCTCTATATGTATAGAAGTGAGATCCTGAATTATTAGGAATATTCACATCCGGAAGGAAGCTCGTGCACACTGCATTACAAAGGCAGATTCCTGTTCAACGCTGGCATAAAGACGAGCACATATCTGCCTGCAGAAGGGGTAAATCGTGTCAAGCATGAGTGCTCATTTTGTATTGAGGCAGGAGCCAAAGCGATGATTCAAAAAGCAGCCAAACCATTGACTGTGCCTGATGCTAGCCAAATTCTTTGTCTTCATCTCTTTATCCTTCTCTCTTTTTTTTTTTTTTACTCCCTCGTTCTGTAATTTGTTTATACACCATAATGGCTGCAGCTGTTTGTAAATCATATATAATTACATTTTAAATGCCCAGCACGTAACATAAAAGTGATTAGATTTAAAAAAGAAGAAAATAATTGACTATGTAGGAAAGAGAAGGGGGGGAAAGCAGTGGCAATAGTTTTTCAGGTTGGTTATGATCATATTTGATCATCTTGTAGCGCACTGTGTGTAAGCAGAGACAAGAGATGGAGGGGAGTGGGGGACAAAACGCCAATGAAAACAATGATTCAAGTGCCCTTTCAGCAGGCATCCCAAGGCTCAAGTGAATTCTATTAAGCCGTTTACAAAAGCCATTAAACCACAGAAGGATAAATAATCATTGTTTGACGGAAGCACTGGCTGAGAGTGCAATGGCTGCTTCGAAAAGGATTCCATTTTACATTTGTTTGCAAGAAGGAATACATTAAGACTGAAAGTACGGCAAGAACATATGTCATAAAAACAAGTCAAACATCCAGAAACTAAAACAAAGTATATTTGACCCCCCCCTCATTTATCTTTTGAAGGAAATGGAGCATGTTGCTTGGGGGACAGAAGCAGTGAATTTCTGGAGTGAACTTCTTGCACCTTTTAAGGCTTTATTTGATATGCTTTCTGTGTTTGTGTGCACAGCTGTGAATGTGCATGTGCTCACATTCATACTATTTGGGAGTTGGCTACACCTCAGTGTTCAATTCATGGGTGATGACTTTATGCTACAATGGCAGCATGGAAGCTTAGTGGTTAGCACTGTTGCCTCATAGCAAAGGGTTCAATCCCCGGGTTGGACCAGGAGTCTTTGTGTGTGGAGTTTGCATGTTCTCCTCGTGTCTGCGTAGGTTTTGCCTGGGTGCTCTGGTTCCCC